GAACTATTCAAGCGCGACATCTCCAACCCATCGCTCAAATGCTTGAGAGAGCTTCAAGCCACTTATGTCATCGAGGAAATCCATCGAGGGATATGTGGTATGCACTCCGGAGCATGCTCGATGGCGACCAGGGTACTCCGAGCTGGATACTACTGGCCCACGTTGAAGTCAGATTGCCAAGCCTACGTATAGAAATGCAAGGAATGCCAGCAGTTTGGCAATGCACATCGACAATCGCCCAAAGCCCTCCACCAGATGATGACATCGTGGCCCTTTGCCCAGTGGGGAATGGACATCCTCGGGCCATTTCCCCCCGCGAAAGGTCAATTCAAATTCCTTCTGGTGGCAATAGACTACTTCACTAAGTGGATCGAGGCATACCCACTCGCCAAGATCACCGCCGAGAACGTACAGAGATTCACCTGGAAGAACATCATATGCAGGTTTGGCATTCCACATTCTCTGGTCATCGACAACGACAGGCAGTTCATTGCGCAGAGTTTCGAAGACTTCCTCCATGAACTCGGAGTCAAACATCTCCCGACCACAGGGGAGCACCCACAGACCAATGGCCAAGCCGATGCTGCAAACAAGGTGATACTCCGAGAGCTCAAGAAGCGGCTAGGATGCGCAAAAGGATAATGGGTCGACGAGCTTCCCAACATCCTCTAGGCATACCATTGTACCCCCCAATCAACAATGAAGGAAACGCCTTACAGGCTAACCTATGGAGCCGATGTTATGATCCCAGTGGAGGTCGGTGAGACGTCTCACCGACGTCGTGTTTTCGACAGTGAGCAAAATGCTCAAGAGACAGCGACCAACCTCGACCTGATTAACGAGCTCAGAGAAGAAGCCTGGATCCATGAAGAAGCTTGTAAGATCCGAGCCTCCAGAAGGTACAATACGCGAGTCTGACCTCGCTGCTTCAGGGTTCGCGACTTGGTGTGGCGACTTTTAGGAGACGCCCGCAGGGACTCGTCAGAAGGGAAGCTCGCGCCTAACTGGGATGGCCCATTCTGAGTCACAGAAAATTTAGAAAATGGAGCATACTGACTAGAAGAACTCAGCGACAAAGCCATCCCGAGAACTTGGAATGCCACGCATCTAAAGTTCTACTTCAGTTGAAATTGTATGAATGAGCTGTGTACTCTTTTCTCAACTCAGTCTTTTGTCCCAAGAAACAGAAAAATGGGTTTTGGCTAAGAGGGTTTTTAACGAGGCACACCCATAACATTAATAAAATGACTCATTCCATTCATGACTTCTTGATTTTACCCTGTTTTATTATAAAATGCATTATCTTAAGTTGAGGTCGAGTTCGAACCTTGATACGAATAGTTTTATCTCAGGCCGAGGTCGAGTCCGAACCTTGATACGAAATCTCAACCTGAGGTCAAGTTCGAACCTTAGTGCGAATTGTTTTACTTTACACTGAGGTCGAATTTGAACCTTAAGAACAAAATCTTTACCCGAGGTCGAGTTCGAACCTCGGTACACATTATTTTACTTTACACTAAGGTCGAATTCGAACCTTAAGAACAAAATCTTTACTCGAGGTCGAGTTCGAACCTCAGTACACATTATTTTACTTTACACTATGGTCGAGTTCGAACCATAGTACAAATTATTTTATCATTATGCTGAGGTCGAGTTCGAACACTGATGCGTTATCTTAAGACAAGGTCGAATACGAACCTTAGCGCGAATTATCCTATCCTATGCTGAGGTCGAATTCGAACCCTAATGCAAATCACTTTAAACTAAGCCAAAGTTTAAACGTGTTTTCAAACCACCAAAACAGGCCAAAACTAAGCCTAAAACGTGTGCGCAAAACCAAAGGTCAAAATAGAACCACCAAAAGCGCAAAGAGTAAATCTCAGGAAAATGATATATACACAACAAAGTTTATGAGTTCAAAAACATAAAAGCAAAATACATGAAATAAACTAAGTTATTACAAAACCCAGCAGCCTAGGCAGAGGTTCTCGCTCGAGCTGTCCTAGAGGTCGTCTTCTTTCACCAGCCGCCCAAAGCACACCTTTTTCTCCCCATGCATGGCCAAGAGGTCGACACCAGGAGCAAGCAACCTCGCCTGACGAGCTGCCTTGACGAAGCCCCTCTTATGCTCCAGCAGGACAGCTTGCTCAGTCTCAACAAGCCTCCTCTCTACCTCTGCCTTAGCCGCGGCCAGCTTGTCCAGGTCTGCCCTTAGAGCTGGGACCTCCTCTTCCTTCCCACCAAGAAGCACCTCATCACACCAGGTCAGCCTTCAACTCAGAGACCTCGTCCTCCAGGGAGCGTGCGCGACTTCGAGAGGAACTAGAAAGCTCTTGAAGATTGCCAACCTGAGCCGTGTAGACCTCATTCGCCCTCAGAGCAATCTCCAAAGATTTCTAAGCTCTGGCGAGATCCCTCCTGGTGGCTTGTAGATCGGCCTCATTCTGCCTCTTGGCCTTGCCAAGAGCATCTCCTAAGGCCTTGTTCTCCTCCTCCAAAGGCTGGGCTCGGAGCTTAGCCTTCTCGAGGTCCTCTTGCAGCTTCGCCCACCTGTGCTTCCAGTGGTCCACGATAGCAAGCGACCGCTGCATGAAGACCTCCGCAGAATCCAGACTCTCTACTGGTCTGACCTTCTCGATCATCGCCTGATCAGCCAAGCGCAGCGAACCCCTTGGGTAGAAGGTCTCCACGGTCACCCCCGAACTCCACAGTGAGTCCACATCTAAGGAGGCGCTCACGTGATCCAACCTCGTCAAAGGGCGATCCTTGTCAAAGCGCTGGGCGATGAATTTACCCTTGGGAGCCTTCTTCGAAGGGCGAGATGGTGGTGCAGTGGCTGCAGGGTTAGGTGATGGGACCTCGGAGCTCGGTCCCTCTCTGCGGACCTCGGCAGGTGTGGAAGCGGACGCCACCTACGCAACAATAGAGGCATTCAGGCCCGATGTTCCTGAGGTTAGCTCCGCTCGGACCTCGGTGGCAGTCGGCTCAGGCCCCGCCTACACACAACAAAAATTTTTTTTTCCTAAGCCACAAAACAAGAAGACAAGCAGTATAAAAGTAAAATCACAAGGAAAGGCACAAACCTCGGCAGCATGGGCAACCTCTTCAGCAGCCACTCGGGAAATTCCCTCAGGTGGAGGACTCCCGATGAGGTCGACTGCGTCGGCGTCAGTAGCCTTCGAAGTCACCTCCTTCGCATCTCGAGGGCGGAGGTCCCCCCGATCTCTTTCTCCCCCTCTTTCTTTTTCTGCGGGTCTCCAAGGGGGCGATCTCCTCCTCTTGAGGCTCAGGGACCTCGATCTCGGTAACGTTATAGCGAGACTTCAACTCGCGCCACTTGCTCCTTTCCATTATGCCTGCAAAAACAAAAGCCAAATACATGAGTAAAAGAAAATTTTACAAACCCTGACAACTAAGGAGGACAAGGTACTCACTCTCTAGACCCCTCTCCTGGTACGCCGAGTTAGCAAGTGACATGGCGAGCTTGCAATCCAAGGGACGAGGAAGCACTTCTAGGTTTTTAATGACAGCGGCGTCCGAGGTCGTCAATTGAAGGTTGGCCGACCCGTTAAACCTGACCGGAGCCTGCTGCCAGTAGAGAGGGAACCTCGGAAACCCGCCGAAGTGGAACACCTCATCTTTCAGTGGGTTGACCTCTTTGGGCAGAACCCGGAATAACTCTTGTTTGAAATTCTTGTAAGACTGGGAGTAAAGAGAAAACAACCCCCCAACCTTACTCCCATTCAAAGACACCCAACCATAGGGAGGTACGCCCAATTTCAGTTGATAAAAATTAAGGAAAACAGGCAGAGACAACCCTACCCCTAGGGTCGAGCACAGGTCTTGAAAAACCCTACCTTCAAGTTGTTGTTCAATTTTAACAAAATTTGACATATATGATCTAAGAGATATGAACTTTCAATCTAACGGTTGGATTTTCAAAATTCAAATTTAATATAAAGTTATTGAACGGTGTAACACTTATTAAAAGTTACACCGGTGTCAACTCTCATATATATATATATATATATATATGAGAGTTGACACCGGTGTAACTTTTACTAAGTGTTACACCGCTCAACTTTATATTAAATGCGAATTTTGTAAATCCAACAATTAAATTGAAAGTTCATATCACTTAGATCATATATACAAAATTTTATATTAATCCAAGATGATTTAATTCTTTATTTTTATAAAACAAAATTGACGTAATATATTCATTTCAAAATATATTATAATATGAATACTTTGATTACCTTCAAATTGTTGTTTAATTTTAACAAAATTTGATATACACGTATAAAGTGATATAAACTTTTAATCTAACGGTTGAATTTATAAAATTCATATTTAATATAAAGTTATTGAGTGGTAAAATACTTCATAAAAGTTATACCAGTTTAATTATAATTCCTATATATATATATATATATATATATGACAATAACAGCAAACAAGTTTAACAAAATGAAAATAGAAAACAGGTTGAGCAATATCCTTTTCAAGGAAGAACGTGTGAAGTTTACGAACCAATCACACTCGTGCGTTTCAAACGTCTAACACTGCTCAAATGGTAGCGACAGGCGTCAAGATTTAATTGGATTTTACCTTCAAACGGTGCGCTGAAGGAACATGGTAAAGCAACCATACCATGTCTCACACCACACGTACGGTGCGTAAGGGGTATTTGGGTAATTTGAGTCGCCCACAGGAATCGTAATCATCACACTTGCCCCCTCCCCTTACGTGCGTGCGTCGAAAAAGCTTCTTCACTGTGTATGTGTAATCCGTTCGCACAAATAACAGATTTTCGCTCCACAAATTTTCTCACATTTATAGGTATTTTTTTTTTCTCGGGAAAATAACGCAGCGAAAAGAAAATGTTGTTTATTTTTAATTTTTTTTTAATAAGGGAAGAAAATGTTCTTTAAATCCAACTTCGGCCAAAAGTAATGCTCCCACTCTCATCGTTCCTTCTTCGCTTTCGTTAACTTTGTTCTCTTTCAGCGATTCTTCGATCATCTTCGCCGATCGCTCCGAACAACGTTTTCGCGTTGTTGTTTCGCTTCTGCGGAGCAGAGAAAGATGACGATCGAACGAGTGAGTAGTGTTCAGTACAGTGAATTAGAAAACGCTGAAGCAATGCAAGCGGTGATGAATTAGTTTGTTGAATGCTGATCAACATTCATCGATCTTTGATCGCCGATTGATTGTTTTGTTTTTAGTTCATTTTTCGAACGCCAAATTCGGATTAATTTTTTTTCCGACACATTCAATGCGTTTCCGAGAATTATTGATAAACTGTTTTCCGTTCGTTTTGCACTTTTGCTGCAACGATCACTGTACGAACTCGCATTGTAGGGCTTGTTGATGATTCGGATTCAGTAGTACTAGCTTTAGTTTCATTAATTTTCGCTTTTGCTTATTAATTGAATTGAATCTTGCTCGATGAAACAAATCGACATTCACTGTTCAAACACTGAAACCCTCAGCTTCGCATTAATTTCGTTTCATGATTTGTCTCTCTCTCTTATTTAATTCTTTACTATAATAAGAACTTGATAGCTGATATATAGTACTTTCACTAACGCTACGTACTTTTCTTTTGTTTTCTCTGATCAATTAATTGTCTATAAGCGAATAGTTGTGTTTTTTTTTTTCTTTCTTTATTCTTAATTTTATGTTAATGTTTATGTGTTAAACTAAGCGTTGGTACTTTTTTTTTTATTTATTATTAATTTTTTGGTGAAATTGATTATTAGTTGCTGTTAATATTGTTGTTGTTGCGTACCATGCAGATTGTGGTGAAGAGTCCGTGTGGTTTCGTTGCGGCTGCTGGTGCTACTGATGAAGAAGATATGGTCTCGTTTCTTTCTTACCGATTTCACGGTCACTGCATAAATTAACATACGCGCGCGTTTTTCTGTTAAATATATAATGGTCTTTTTCTAACGCACCGCGATCCTTTTGGGATCCTGTGAGCTTAACGAACAATATCGCCGCATGCACGCACGCATAGCAGCGTTACTTGGTTGTTGAATGATTATATTTTCTATTTGTTTTTGCTTTTGCACGCACACACATTTAACTCACCCTCTTTCTCTCTCTCTATATATATATATCTCATATGCAAATGATTAGGGAAAATCATGGGTATAAGTAAAACACTCGATATCTAGTAGTACTAATTATTATGGTAATGTCGATAATTACTATTATTATCTAACATGATATATATGGTGAAGGGCATTGACGCATTGTTTAAATTTATGTTGTCATTATGCAACAATTAATAAGATTATATATTATATGTGGTTCTAATGGATTTTAGAGATTGATCGTTGATTAGTATATATGGTGTTTTTTTGGTGATATTGATTAGTGTATATGGTATTATAGGAGAGTTCGTACTTGAAGAGGCAGGAACAGAAGGACGTCCACGTCGACGAGGGCAGAAGCGAAAGGAGCCCATGTTTGGGCAAACATGTTCTGCTGTTTCCACCCACATCTGAATCAATTAGTACCATAGGTAACATCCTTTGTTTGGCCATATGATAAACCTTTTGCCAAGTTTTAAATTGGGACGGGATTTTTTTTCTTCCAATAATGCCCTTCATTTTATTATGAAAAATAAAAAATAATAATAATAATTACACTCGGTTGTTTCCTTTGGTAATTTTGTATATATTTGATCCTTCTTTCCCTATATCCTTTCCAATGTAACTGGTAAAATTTGTCATGAATATTGCAGCTTCTGAACACTTAAAAGTGGGTCGATTTCATGAAATTTATCACTCCGAGCTCTCACCCATTTCCCCCGTTCAACTAAAATCCGTCGGCATTGTAATGGTATTACTTTATACTCATACATCTATATAAAATAAAGTGCTACTTTTAAACTTTTTATAGGTATTTAAAAACAATCTCTTTGGTTATTTCCTTTAACGGATGATGCTTGAATTCATTAGGTCAGTGACATAGGGGAGCACCAGGTGTCGCTAAGGTACCCAAGCCTTCAATCACTTCGCATGCACTTCAGCGACCAAAACTTTGAGAAGCCAGACGGGAAGAAGATCCCTGCACTCGACGAGAAGTACGTGATGGGGTTGGACTTCGCCACCAAAGCGCTTTCCAGGAGCATCCCAACTGAGGAATTTGAACAAAAAAAAAGCTCTTGGAGCTTCTGGGTCTCTCCCTCTAAAGAACACATTCAAGACTATGAAAATCCAGCTCTCATTGATGCCGCAAGGAGTATCATTTCAAAACAGGGTTCTTGCTGGTCTCAGCTCAAGTTCTCAGGGATGATGCAGTGGGGCAAACGCCGACAAGTTCGGTTCTTGGGCCGTCATGAGGAGAAAAAGGTTGAATCTTTTTCGAAACTGTGTAAGGAAAAAAGTGTCAGTGATGAACTCAGAGAAGGGACTAATGAAAAGAAGAGGAAGAAAGGTGAAGAAGAAACGGAGGCTACCAAGGAAGAGTCTTTTGCGGTTATGAGGATGACTCGTCAATGTAAAAAAAATCATCAAAATGTAAGTAGTAGCAGTGGGGTTCCAAAATCTAAGAAAGCAAAGAATGACCCCAAGAAGCTGCAACTCGTACTTTACAACAAAAATAAGCGAAAAATCTCAATTGACAGATGGTCTGCTGAGAGGTAAATAATTGTTTGTATCCAAAGTTCCAAATGATTATATTATAAGCTAGTATAGTGTATAGTTCAGTTTTTTCTTGCATGGTTCGATAATTGTACATTGTTTTTTCCACGTTTGAAGGTATAACTTGGCAGAGGAGAACATGTTAAAGGTTATGAGAGAAAAAGGAGCTGTGTATGGAAATCCAATATTGAGGCCAGACTTGAGATCGGAAGCACGAAAATATATTGGTGACACGGGTCTGCTAGATCATTTGCTGAAGCACATGGCTGGAAAAGTCGCACCCGGAGGTGCTGAGAGATTCCGACGGCGACACAATGCGGAGGGTGCAATGGAATACTGGTTAGAGAGTGCTGATCTTGTTGATATTAGAAGGGATGCAGGGGTACAAGACCCTTACTGGACTCCTCCCCCTGGATGGAAGCTCGGGGACAGCACTACGCAAGATTACGTTACTGGTAGAGAACTCAAAGAGATCAAAGAAGAAATCCTCAAGTTGAAAGAGTAAAGCCATTTTCTTTATTCTCAGTTTGTTCTGAATGACTTTGTTGGTTATTCACTAATTCTGCTGATTCCGAGTCACTATTGGTTACTCTTTTTGATGTACAGAGATATGCGTGAGCTAGCATCTAAGAAGGGCGACGATACATTAGCCATAGTGACTACTCCTAGTTCCTGTTTGTCTACTTTGAATTCGGAGGACTATGGTTCCTTGGCTCCTAAGCAGGTGAAGCATAGAAGTAGGCTTTTAACTAATTGCTAATGTGAATAGAAGTAGGACCAGTTTTAATTACTATTTAACGTTATATTGCAGGAGATTTATGCGGAATTGGTGACTAAGAAGGCTAAAATAGAGGAACAATTGAAGGAAATTTCACTGACTTTGAGTGGCATGGAGGTAATTTAATCATTACTATTTGTATCTTATTTAGATCGAGTTCATGGTTTGAATGATTTCGGATGTAAGGAATGTTTCTAATGATTGGTCTTGACTGTAACAGTTATTATTAGCGATCCTATATAACAGTTTTTAATTACTCTCAATATGACGTGTTATTAATTTTATAGATTAAAAAAAATTAAATACATGTCATTGATTCTTTGTGATTAATTATGGATATTTGGTGATCCTAAATTACATAATAATTTATGTGAGTACTTTACACAGCCCACAAAAGTGGAAAAAATCATACTTGTTAATTTGTAATTATGTTTTTTCGTTTTCATCGGGAATCAATAAAATGGGATTTGATGGAGGCTCTCTCTTGATGCAGGAGCAACTGAGAATGCTGAAACCATCAATATTAGAAGAACAAATAATGTCAGAATCGGTAACCCCAACGGCATTTTTGCCTGGACCAACATCAGTGGCAGAAAACTTTGGAGGAGACACAAGGAAGGAAAAGAAAAGCAACAAGAGCAAAGCAGCAACAAAATCACAAATGCAGGAAATAAGTACAGCGGAGGACAAGGCTGCAAAGATAGAAAGGCTGAAAAGTGGCTTCCAAATTTGCAAGCCACATGGGACCTTTGTATGGCCAAATATAGGTCTGTCTCCCCTCAACTATGATGATCACACTGTGGTCCCAACCCCAACATCAGCTTCCTCTTCCACCACCTCAGCTCCAAAACTCATCTCAAAACCCCAGATTCAGCACTTGTCATTGCCATCACCTAACCCTTCTTCCCCTGTAAAACCACTAGCAGAGAGGCGCCCTGTGAGCACTGCTACTTTGTCCCATGTAACTGGGCCATTCTCCCCTCGCCTTCCTCCACCATTATCCAAAATCATCACCACCTTCACTATTAACCTCAATGAGACCCCTTTCACCCTAGAGTAGTGCTGGCTAGTTGCTAGCTACATACCATATATATTTTAAACAAACCACACCATTTTGAGTCCCGTGTTGGTAAGAATAGGTTCAGAAGCCAACTTCATAATATTCACACTAAATTGGAAATGGAAACTTTTGCTAGTTCATATTGATATATACTACATATAATTGAAGTTAGATATTGCAAATATGCGCACTGAAAATGGTTAGTCAAACATTAAAATTAAACCAGTCAAATGCTGACGATTTCTGCATAATTTTTGGAGTAATATTTCTTCCTCTTCGTGATACGTTTTGGAAATGGTTAGTCTCTCACTTTTTTCCTCCTCAGAATCTGATGACTTAAAATAGCCCTATGACTTTTCTGGGCTTGAACATTAACATTAACATTAAATGGGAGGTAAAATGTTTCCATGTGTAAACAAGATTAATTTGAACCCCCATTCAGTTTTAAAGTTTCTGTTCCCACTTCCCATAGTATTTCGGCACACACATTTTCCCTTTTGGCAGAGTTATGGAGAACTTACCTGATAAGTGAAAAATCATTATAATAGCAGGGTGAGTTAGAGATAAGAAAATAAGTGAAATACGTATTATAACATGATTGATAACATGCAAGACGAGAAGAGAGAGACACAGATAAATTAGAGATGTCTTTCATTTATTAAGGTGTAAAAAAAAATTACTACACGAAATATATTCAACTCCAAAATTTGAAACTTAAGAAAAGGATTTACTTTGAAAAAATATATACTTAACAAAGCATCAACCCAATTGAACTCCTTATTGTAATCTTCAATTCCTGCGTCATGCTTTGCCTACCAGAAAACAAGGGAATGCCCAACAAACATGGACCGATAAGTTGACTAAGATGGATTGTCGTTGGATTAGATTTTAGACAACCCACTATATAGCAACTCGCTGCAATCTTACTATTTTTGTAGTTTCGTGTTTGTAATTATTATAATCGTCTCTTAAATATTGTAGAGACGCTTTGCCAAAAAAATAATCTCTTTAATTCATGTTTCGTTCCCAACATACGACTTTGGGACCAGTAAAGCTGACTTTTAACCACAAGACTTAATTTCCACTTAACAAGTGTTACATATACATCTATCATACATATAAAGGGTTCTATTATTTTTCAATTTTTTAAAAATTATTTATACTTTTTATTATATTTCTTTTCCACTATTATATGTCTTAAGATAAAATAGAAGAAAAAAAATATGTGTAAAATAAATTAATTATCTACTTTATCAATAATAATTATCGTTTTATTTTGTAATCATTTTTATCTCTAATTTTGTTTAAAATTATTTTATATTTTTTTAATTATATATTATCTCACTTGATTTATATTTTGTAATTTTTATTATTTTTAAACAAAGTACATTTGTGTCTCAACTCCACTAATTAATATAAATAATTATGTTTAGATATATAAATTACATATAAATTTTGAATAAGTAGATATTTTTAAATATATCAATTATATTTTAAATTTATGATAAATATATTATTTTTATTTATTGAAATTTATTTAAAAAACATTAAAATTAGTTAATAAATAATTATAAGAAGAAAAAAATAAAAAATGAAAAAAAGATTTAAAAATTTTTGATAAAAAAAATCTCTTAAAAATACTTTCCTGCAATATAAATCATTTATATTTTATATAGAGAGGTAATAACTTACGTACGTGTTGAAGATTGTTAGGACAGTTGCCCCACTAACATTTGAGTGTGTACACAACAATATACATACCATATATTATAATGCCTTGGACGGTGAATTTATTGTGTGGCTATGGTTAGCGAATTTGATTGTTGTTTGCTTAATCAATATGGCGCATAACATTGAGTTCCATGTTATTATAAGTCCCTTTCTTGCTTGCTCCACTTTCTCATTTAATTTGTGATGATACGGACTATTGGACTTTCCTATGCTCAGATTTACTACTTACTAGCTTCTAATTTTGTTGTTTAGGGAACTTGCTCTCCTAAGCACACACAAAAACATAAAAATAAAATTGTCTCTATAAATAATAATTAAAACGTAAAAGTCAAATTTGATAAAAATAAACTTCTGAATACTTAACAATTAGAAAAATATAGAATAAGAGAAATTTAAGAAAATAAATTAATAATATTATATTATATATAATATTTTTTTTCTTTATATTTAATATTATCGATTTATATTTTTAAAATTACAAGTATATTTTTACTGAGAAATGAAAATATTACATGTCAATTGATTAATTGTTGTTGATTAATTTATTTTTATAATAATATTTTTTTATATAATACAATTATGTAATTTTTTAATATTAATATAAATTAAAAAAAATTTGTGTCCTATGAAAATATGGTCGTAGATAGTCACTTACCTTGATTGTGTTCAAGGTTGCCATGGGTGCCAACTAGGAGGATGTTAAAAAAAAAATATTACGTGACTCATAATTTATATTTGGTTTAATTATCCTGTTAAACTCATTAATTGCTTAACAATAAGAAGCTGTGAAAAAAAATAATACGAGTTATTAAGACTCAATAAATATATTTTATTGGTTCGTAATGAAGAAACTAATGAATGACTATTATGATAATAAGTGAGTCTTGCTTATAAAAAGATATGTGATATTTTATTGTCTGATGAACTTCAAAAAAGATAAAGATTAGAAGAGTTATTTCTATTTTCTCTATTTAACTAAATATTTTGTTACATATTTAATAGTTTGGTAGCAAAGACTACAAGAGGTATGTTTATACTATTATAAAATAAACACTAAGGTTTTATTTTTCTAACATCTCACTCATTTGTTTTCTTAAGATTATTTAAATATGATTCTTATCACTTAATGTTATTAAATTTTCAAAGATCATTCTAAATCAATTCTATATCGATCCTAATTTAATAACTGATTTCTCAATTTACCAAATTAGAGTCCTTGCATTAAGTTTAAGAATTTTTTCAACTAATTACTCTAAATCTATTCCTAACTTTAGAATCTTAGGTGATTTGATTCAAAACAAATTTAGAAAATATTTTCTAACCAAAATCTAAATCAAAATAAAAGATGAGTGATGAATTTGCATCAAGCATTAAAAATAGAATCAAATCATTAACATCAAATAATAGAACATCATATATATAAATCAAAAGATTACATTAGAGTTTGATAGATTACATTTAATCACAATAAAAGATGAGGATTAGCTAGTCATGGTAATATAAAGAAATCTCCATGTACAAAGAAAGTATAAAAGAAGATGAACCCAAAGTCTCTGTAGCCAAATTGACTCTTAAAGTTTTTCTTCTCTTCAACTTTGCTTCTCGCTTTGTTCTCCTTTGTCTCCCCTCTTATTCTCTCTCTTCATCCTTTATATATATCACCGCGGGGGCGCGGAGCTCGTCCATGTCGCGGGGGGGGGTCTCGACAGAGGGTGTCGACAAAGGGGCCAGCTTTGAGGGCCATGAGCATGGAGTGCAGGGCGACTTCGGGGTTTAAGTTCTGGATCCTCACCGAGATGCTGGAGAAGCGCTTCATGAAGGTTCGCAGAGGTTCGTCATCATTCTGCTTGAGGTTTTCCAAAGTAGTGGAGGTTGTGTGGTGAGGTCGGCTGGTGGCGTATTGTGCCGTAAACCGTCGGATTAAGGTGTTGAAGCTGTCGATGGACTCGGCGGGTAACTGGGTGTACCAGTGGAGCGCGGCTCCTTTGAGCGAGGTAGGAAAAACCCTACACAGGATAGCATCACTGTTAGTGTAGAGGTTTACCTGGGTCGTGTACAGGTCAATGTGCTCATCGGGGTCCGTTGTGCCGTCATAGCGGTCGAGATGGAGAGGCTTCAATCCACGGGGGAGTGAGGTCTCCATGATGCCGTCCACAAAAGGATGTCGGCGGAAGGTTTCGTGGCCTTCTATGGCACGTGTGGTTGCTCTGCTGACATCTGGGCCCGGCTTGTGCGTCGATGCATGAGATCGGTGCGTGGCGGGTTGTGAAGTCGGTGCCCTGGTCGCAGTCCGGGATTGAGAGGCCGAGTGTGCCTCGTCTTCATAGATGTTGCTCCCGTGAGGAGGGCGATCAGAGGGGCATCGAGGGGGTTGGGCGCGAATGCGCTCGTTTTCTTCACGTAACGCTGCGAGGTCTGCTTCATTAGCTGTCTGCATTGCCGCTAGGTCAGCTTCGTGCTTGGCGCGCATGTTGCGCAGGTCAGTGTCATGCTGCTGTCGCATCTGTTTGACTTGGTCGATCAGTCTTCTCAAGGTTGCAGCGTCGCTGTCCATGGTGATAGAGTGCTCAGCGTCGTCTGTTGCACGTCTGTTGTGGCTTCTGGTGAATACCATACGGGTGGCCGATAAGAGCTGTCTCGATCGGCCCCACGGTGGGCGCCAAATGTTCTTACCGGAA